GGTAGTACTGAGATATTGTGCTACTTTAATAACTTCTTTGCCCAGTAGCGTGATGTTTTCAGTTTTTGCCAAGACATGAAGAACCACCTTACTGTCAATAAGGAATTTTATGTTACCCTTGTATTTATTTAAGTTATCTTTTATTTGGGTGATTGCTTTGTACGTGGCCCATAGTTCAGCTTGCGTAATGCTACAATGTTTAGCAAGTTTTAATCTGGCCTGATATATTGTCTTATTGTTGTTGTTTTGAATGCACACACCAGCTCCCACTCCACACTCTTGCTTAGAAAGTGTGATTATATAATATTTTAAAAATTTACATTTATAATTACAGTCAAAATTCAATTAGTAATAGTAAGATTTACTGTTATTATTCCTTTGGGTGGGGGTCACGAAATATTAATTTTATGTATACTTACTATTTGGGGGGTCACGGAGCTATGACGGTTGAGAATTGCTGATTTAGTATGTCTAACTGTTTTTAATTAAGTGAAATTTCTAATTAACATTTAATTTTTAAAATGTTTTGTTTAGAATCCGTAAATTGTTAAAATTTATTTTTCAATTATATCTGCACCTGTAAAATTTAAAATGAGAGGGAGATTCTCTTTGCCTTTCCTAGGAGGCGGCAATAGAGATTTTGTGCAGATGCTTGAAAAAATGTTCCTCCCACTTCCATATAGATATATTATTGTTCACAGTCAAAAAAAATTTGGTTATTATTTTATTTGATATGACTATGGCTTATTCAAATGCAAGGAACTGAAAGAACTTTGATTAAGAAAAGAAAACTACATTGGCATGCAATAACAAATATTAACAATAACTTAATCTACTATAGAAGTATAAATTTATTAAATTGTAATTCCCCCCAGCTTAAATTTAATAGAAGTAATGATTAATTGATTACCAATTATCTATCAATTAATTGGTATGTCACTAAATTAAACAATTTACTTAATAGCTCAAACAATCTGACAACATTCAGCTGTTTTTGATGAGATATCCTCATCAAAAATAAAAATCATTAATAATATTCTTAATATAAATAAGCTTGGTACAGAAGTGCATATTCTATAATAGCAAAGTTTTTCTTTTAACATATAAAATTTTCCACTCCAAAATAAATCATCATATTAAAAATAAGCCAAACAGTACAGCTGTCCCTTGATAATCCGACAGGTACAGGACCAAAGGGGTGTTGGATTACCGAAAGTGATTACATATTTGGCATTGTTTTGCAAACAGTAGCCTACAATATTCCCTACTCCAACTGTTCAAACAGAACTGCTTACGGAAAACACACGAAATGTGTGTCATCGTGTAAGAATTGGGTGGGGAGATTCACATCACGACATGCTTCTGTGCAAGCAGACACGTAACGGGGACGGGTATCTTGACGGGAGGTGCGTCAGACTACTGAGCATGTTGGATTACAAAACGTCGGACTATCAAGGGACAGCTGTATTTTCTTTTATATTACAATAACATTAATTTGATTATTAAATCACATGCAATCTTTGACTTTCAGATAATACATTACTTTGAATTTGGTGAATGAAAAGCAATTCAGAATTATCACACATTTTCAACTGACAAATAAAACATTCAAGCAATCATACAATGCCACTTTCTGTGCCATTTTTGGTAACAGCAAAATCATCTGTGAAAGTTAGTTTTCATTACTTTGTTTTTTGTTTAATCAATATAATGTATCAATTCAAATAAATAAGAAAGTGTTGGTTTTTTACCGTGACTATATCAATTCAAATTTTGATATAGTCAATGTAAAAAACCAACACTTTCTTATCCAAGATATTTATTACTTTTACCTTTCTGAGAATTAAACACTTTTTATAATATGCACTTCTATTGCCTGGCTTTCATACACATTTTTAGGATAATGAAGTATGTCTGTGAGTTGAGGCTGCCTGTACTTTAAAGTCAAAGAATTTACAATGGTGCTTAGCTATAGCCAAGCACCATTGTAAATTCTTTGACTTTAAAGCATCATCAAATATTGAAACTAATATTCCTGCTAATATTTAACTTGGAAGAAGTATTACAATTCAAAGTTCAACCATCAACCATATAAAAGAATTCCATAACTAAATATATTGCTTGTTTATATTTGGTAAACAGTATTCAGACTCTTATGTAGAAAATACAAATATAAATTAGGTAACAAATAACTTACCATAATGGCATTTACAATGTCATTATTATTATTCTTCAGAGCTCTCACAGCCTTTGCTCTAGAAACATTAGCCTGAGACATTACTAGCTCAATATCTTTACTTTCCACTCCAGTTTCATCAACCTATATAAATTAAAAACCATGTAAATACATACACATCTTAATGACTTCTCAAACAGTTAAAATGAATACCTCTTCCTCCTCTTCTGATTCTTCTTCAATAGTAGGAGATATTGTCGTTTGGGCAGGCTCTCCCACAGAAGCACCAGCTTCAGGTGTTTTGAATTTTTCAGCTGCAGCCATTTGTGCTTGTTGACTGAGATCTTCAATCTGATTAGTATAATTATTAATAATTAAGTATTAAAGTTAACAAATTTCTCAATTTATTGATATGATAATGCTTTTTTTACCTTTGCTTCACCAAACACTATATACGTATCAGATGCTGGACTTTTATAAACATCTGGTTTGTTAATAACAAAAAGTATGTTTTTTGATTTCCTAATTGTGACTCTCCCTACTCCCTGTACTTGTTTCAATCCCAGTTTTGACATTACTTTACGAGCTTTCTTCTCACTTCTACTCTGTTTTGCTTTGCTGACTAATTCTTCATTGATACCAGCAGCTTGTGCCATCTGAAACAATAACTAAATGTTCGAAAATGAACTTTAAAACTTAAAAATGTTTTTCAAATAGTTCAATTAAGTTTTTTAAGACAATCATTATTTAGTCCTTCATTAGTGGCATTTGTTTTGGAGTGTATATTGTGACACAGAATGCAGGCATATCCAAGAGGTTTTCAGTGTTAAATATCAACAACTATTCAATGCTAATATTATGTGTTTTATAAATAATAAATTCATATATTCACATTAAGCATTAAACTGATTATTAATTTAATTTGTATTAATTAAACTTGCATCCTTCTGTTTATATATATATATATAAACAGGAAAATAAATAATGGTATAGTACATGTGCATCACAGATCCTTTCAACAAGTCTCAATAAGATAGTGGAAACACCTGTTCAACACAAATGCATTTCTCATACCACTAATGAAGAGTGTTTTAAACAGCATTAACATATTAAATAACACCAGGGCTCTGGAGTTGGTGGCCAAAGAAATTTGCTAGAGGAGTCAAAGTCTGTAAAAATGGACTGACCTTGATTCTGTTATTTTCCCAACTTGTTAGGTATAGTATAAAACACGGGAAAGTATTAAAATTATATCAAATTCAATCGCCAAGTTTTGCCATTCTGAGTAAATATAAAATATATTTTAAATTATCATTTAGGAGTTGAATATCTAAAATTCCATGAATTGGAGTGAGAGGCTGAGACTACAGACTCCACAGCCCTGAATATAACTATTATTATTATTATTATTATATAAATTTTTGAAAAAGAAAAATGAAAGTTTTATTAGACCTGGCTCTGATCTTGAATTTTCACACCACTGCCTTCTGGTATTTCAACTTCTGCTGCAGAATCTTCACTTTCGGAATCTGTCCCCGAACCACTAACTACAAAAATAAAAGTTTTCATTTAGACATTTTAGAAATAAATTATTGTAACAAATAATTTGCTTGCGTTATTTAAACAAAAACGTAATTCAATCAATCATCTTAATAACTACAGTTGAATCTGTCTATCTCAAACATGTTTATCTCTAAAACCTCTTTACTTTGAAATTTATTTTTTCCCTCACATTTTTGACGACAAATTCAATAATTTTCCACGTTCATAATTTTTTCCCAAAACCCTCTCTATCTCAAATTATGGATTGAAATGTCAATTATAAATTCAAAGCTCAGTGACTACATTTTGACAGCATAAACTGGTTGAGAAACATCTCTTGAAATACAGTACACAGTTGCAATTAATGCTGCTTTTTAATTACCTGTACTTGGCAAATAAATCTTCAATTAAAAATATTTTGTTATTGTTTCATTATAATGCTAGTCAGATAACAAAAATACCCATAATTCATGAGGGCTTAGAATTAGATCCGGCTGTACAGCTCCAAATCTCTGTCATTTATAAAATATATGTACAGTACATCAGTGTTTTTCAACAACTAGTCTAGAAAAAAATTTCACCAATCTGAAGAAAGGCATTCAATTGCACTGACACTGATGCAGTCAATTATCGATGACATTTAAATAATAATAATCTAGAGTTACTGTATGCACTTTGTTACATACAGTAACTCTAGATGATGATGATGATAATTATTTTTATTGTACTTATTTTGTAAAGGGGAACTTAAATGTATGTACAAATTAATTTAGCTGTTTATAAACTTTCACAAAAAAAAAATATAAAAAATTTTACAAACTCCCATATAACTAATATATGGAGACTAAATAGTTTACAATGCTTCCATGAAGGCCAAATATCTGTCTACAAAAAGGCTCTAGAACTCTACAATATACAAAATATGTTACCATTCTAACACAGTTAGGAATAACACCACAAGAGGTGCATGGTTTATTAATATATAAATTAATATATTTACAAAGAAATAATAAATGGTATTAGTTATATTTTAGTTTTATAATTAATGATTTAGCATGATAGTTCACTACATGTAAAAGCTACAGTGGTGGAGACCAAGATAAAGACAGATCACAGCAATANGACCCCCTCCCGATTTTACATTTTTGGACTAGAGACTGAAACATCGAGAAATGGCGCTTCACCATTATCATCTTACCCTCAAAATTAAGCTTTTTGCCATTTTATAATAGTTAAAAATATGAAGTTTTTTTAAATAAAATATAACAGATGGCGCCACAAAATGTTGCCGGGAAAGTTAGGCAACTCGCTGCTGGATATTTTAAACTTCTGAATCACAATCCAAAGCTTAAAAAATCAAGTTTTTCTACTCTATGCAATGTGTTGGCGATATATTTTGGGGTAATTCAGTAGAGTGACCACCCGTCCTACTGTGGGAGGACATGTCCTACAATTAAACCTTTTGTCCTACGTCCTATAGCCTAATGGAAATGCCCTACTTTCACAGATAACTACTTCTGGGCCAATAGGTAGTCATTAATAACAATAAACTTTTTTTTTTATATTTTTTTTACTACTTTTTTTAAGCTGAGTTGTCAAATGTCCTACCGGGAAGCATTATAAAACTTCAAATGTCCTACTTTGACTATGTCAATATCTGGTCACCCTATAATTCAGCGGCAGGAAAATCACTTTGCCAAGAAACACAATGAATAGTTTTGGATGGGATAGTAACCGTTAACCTCTTTTAGGAATAGTGGACAGACCAAATAAAATCCCTTAAATCACCATGTCATTATTTCAATTTTGCTTCAAGATTAAAGTATTGGGATATCAACAAAATACGCTATAGACTGGCATCTATTTGAGATCACTTTTGATGGATTTGTGGATTACAGACGAAATCAGTAATATTTAATTTAAAGCACGTGGAAAGCAATGACAATTTCTTTGAAAAAATCAGTCAATGGTCATTGGCCAGGTAACTTAAAATTGGCCTTCGAAAATATGTAGGTTTACTCAAACTTTTACTACGTATTTGGCACCACCAAAGTATACATTAAGAATATGAGCATTTATCGAAAACTTGATTATAGATCGCTGCCAGAAATCATGCCTCAGAAACATATCATTGCACAGAATAGTATTGGAAAACCCTGTATATATATTTTATATGTGTGTGCGCGTGTGTAGTGTATTTTAACCATAGCAATGCAGTCCAGCAATTAAAAAAAAACCCTGGAATTTTTCATGGGCAATCCCAACCAGGATGGATACATTTGGCCTTGCCCTCAGTGCCTGATCAAATCCATAAGGGTTATTGTTAGAGCCTTCTAATCCCCACAGGGAAGAGGGAAAAGCAATGCTGATCATAAAAACTCAGCTCTATAAAGCAATCAAAAGATAAAAGATCAGTGTACCAACAATGAATCTTGCATCTTTTCTAATTACATAACAATTTTCATTTGTAGTGTATTAACATAGTAAAGATCTATAATCCTACAATGTAAATTTAGATACTAGAATTTGCTTTTTTTTAATGTTCCACTTTCTTTTAAACTCCATTAAATATATTATATATTTTTCTGGTTAATAATTACTAATTTTTAATTATACAATAAACTTATAGAATATACATTAATCATTTAAAATTTATAATCAACTAAAAATGACACTTATCTAATTTTAGTTTTTTAGACAGAATCAATACAATCAGACAAGTGGATTATATGCCTTCAGATCAGGTAAATGATCATACTTCCGCAGAAATACAGAGTTGTGTCAATAGCAACTGTTTATTTTACAGGATATTCTATGTTGTAGAAAGAGGACAAATGAGATTCAAAAAATTGAATTTACAATAAAAGTGCCAAAGAAATATGGAGGAGGCAAACAAGCATTTTGGTGAATTATATTACAAATCTTTTCGTTCTTGTGAAAACGTAATTAATTATATTATCACCGTAGGATGTTCGACGTCGGAGGACAGAGAGGAGAGAGAAAAAAATGGATACAGGTTTTCGACGGAATAGCCGCCGTCCTTTTTCTTGTTTCTAGCAGTGGATTCGACATGAAACTCCGAGAAGATCAAGAAACGAACAGATTAACTGAAGCACTTCAACTGTTTGAAGATGTATGGTATAGCAGGTATTTATCTATCAATCAAATTACATTTCAATCTATTATGTAAAAATCAAAGATCATTACAGATTTCTGAGAGATGCGGGATTTATAGTTTTCCTGAATAAGCAAGATATTTTGAAAGAGAAAATTGAAAGAGGTGTCAAGCTACAGAAATATTTTCCAGAATATTCTAATTATACTGTGAATCCTGCTGGTAAGAATTTTAAATGTAAAATTTTATAAAATTAATACCAATTGACATGAATAAACACCATATTTAGACTGTATGGTCAGTCACTATTATGCTTGTTATAGGCAGGCATGCTGGTTTGAACCCAATTTCCACGTAAATAATACCTTACTGCACGAGCCAACATAAAATTAATGTAAACTCTAAGATTATTATAAATTTTCTAGATGGTGACGGCACTGATGATTATCAGAAGGCAAGATGTTTTATAAGAGACAAATTTATGGTAAGTGTATTTGGATTCATATGTTTATGTATAATGAACTAAAAACATAACTTTATCTATTCAGGAAGTTACAAAAAAAGTTGAAGCACCTCGAAGATTTAGTACGTCAGAAATGTATTATGACATTCATAAAGACTTAAAGAAAAGAGAATGTTTTTGGCATTTTACAGTGGCCACTGACACCAACAACATTAAGACAGTGTTCAATGACATCCATACCATGATCATATTATGGAATCTAGAAAAAATTACTCCTAACTGAAATGTAGGATAAGGTTAGAAACAATAGACTTTCTGGTGTTTCATAACAGACTATTACTTTTTTTTATAGCAATGTCAGTTTATCTTCATGTTAAGTCAATAACCGTTGTTGGAAATTTAACTAAAAGTCTATAATTTAAATTTTTTACAAGCATATTACAAACTTTAATGTAAATCTGTGCTGTACAGCCATAGTTAACATTTGAAACTAGTTTAGAAACTTTCTAAGGCATTCTATAATAAAGGTTCTTATTGCTAATATTTAATTGATAATAAAATTACGTCAAATTATCTATAACATAAGTCAAGGAATAAAAGACTGAGCATGTAAAAAGTTAAAAATTTTAACATGTTTAAATAACTTAGAAAATCAGTTAAAAGAACAACTTCAAAATTGTGTACGTAAAAAGTTAAAGCAGTCAAACTTAAGAATCTGATGACAACAAATCAAGACAACAAAAAAACTTTAATTACGGCACAAATAATTTGATGTTAAACCCTATAAACATCAAGAAATCTTCAAAAATATCTGTCTCTGTGATTCTACATGGTCAATTCCTGAAAAATAAATAAATATAATTATAATTTCAATTTTTTTAAATTCAAATTTAATGAAAGGCATAAATCAACATACATAAATGAATTTATTTCTCTATATAAATAATTTTAACTTTAATTTAGATTAGAAACAACTATATTAGTATATTATTTTAATAGTAGTAATTTAATGTTTAAAATATTTGCAATCATCTATAATATCTCCTACATACCAATGTTTTTAATTTATATCTAAGAAAATGCTACGATGATGATGATCTGGAAAACCATAATAAATCATTTCACTTTCCATAAATTGAGCATATGTTTCTAAAAATGTAGCTTTAATTACATACTATCACTCAAAAGACAATCGGCAACAAATTATATTATTTGACACTGTTCATGAATGCCTGCAGTAAAACTGCTTGGACAGTGTTATTGTATGCGAACATACACACTTGAGTGTATGAAAAACAAACTTTTCAGACTAGTTATGTAGCAAAGATAGAGACGGACTCTCTACAATAATACCCAATGAACATGCTTACAATACAATGTCAATAGCCTGTTATTAGTAGTTTTGAGTTATAACCATAAAATGTAATGTTACTATTTGTGAAATAATAAAGGTAATTTTTTTTATGAATTCCTTCAATTCAGAAAATTACAACAACCAAAACAGTACTCTATTACAAACAATTTGCCAATTACTTATTAAAAATCCAGAAAAAATTAAAAAACTGAAGAATTCTATCATAATTTACATTCTCCAGAAACACTCTTCTCTCCCTAATCTGTTTCCTTCAGAACTTTTTGGACAGAAAAAGTTAGACAATTTGAAGATTTGCAAAACCATATTCAAGTCCATAAATTTTGTTTATGGGGCCCATATCAAGGAGTTTTTAATTACCTAACTAATAGGCAAGGTTTTTAAGAGAATCTGACTAATATATTAATTAAATTCATTATATTTGATGCACCAATAAGCATTTTGTTCATCATCCAATAGCCAATTAATATTAATAAGAATTGTACATACATACATACATACATCTCTACTACTAAAGATTCAATCATTACTTTGATTTCAATCATTAGTAAAATACAGTCATCTGTTTAGAGCAGGGGTCACCAAACTATGGCCCACAAGCCAGATCCAGTTTGTGAGGTCAGTTCATTGCCCGCCACCTCACTGTGCTACAAATGAGCTAATATAATTACTTATATTGAAATATCATAGATTGTAGATGAACTTACTATGTAGAAAAAATTAAAATAAGTAAAAATAAAATTGCTAAAATTGGTCCAATCTGATTTTTGCATTTGACAGTAATATAATTTTTAGAAAAATCAGTGAAATAAAAAATTTGAAGACTTTTTGCAACTTTGGATATTGGAGCACTTTTTGTGTAAGTACCTGCAATGAATTTTCTAAGATAAGCAATTATGAGCTTGCTGCAGCCATGTTTGTGTATTGGTAAATAAATATGTTGGTTTTCTTCATTGTTTGTGTATTCAGTATACTATATTGAACAAAATGGTTATGCAGCTTGCGCTTGTCATTCTCTCAGTTATCTGGCCCACTGTGAAAAATGTTTGGTGACCCCTGGTTTAGAGTATGATCAAGAAATATTTATTATAATAATTTAGCACAGCGTTTCTCAACCTGGGGGGTCACAGTGATATTAAAGGGGGTCGCAAGTAATATAGAAAATCAAATTACAAAGACCACATACACATCAAGTTGGAACTTATAAATTGCTCATGTATGTACACGTAATACATGCATGTTCATACCCATCGCTATAAACGCAGTGACATAAAATAATAGGAACAGTTGTATTACATTTTTTATACTGTCTGTATTTTCTTAATGTCTAAAATTAGTGCAATGTGATTATATAATATTTTTAAAAATTTACATTTATAATTACAGTCAAAATTCAATTAGTAATAGTAAGATTTACTGTTATTATTCCTTTGGGTGGGGGTCACGAAATATTAATTTTATGTATACTTACTATTTGGGGGGTCACGGAGCTATGACGGTTGAGAATTGCTGATTTAGTATGTCTAACTGTTTTTAATTAAGTGAAATTTCTAATTAACATTTAATTTTTAAAATGTTTTGTTTAGAATCCGTAAATTGTTAAAATTTATTTTTCAATTATATCTGCACCTGTAAAATTTAAAATGAGAGGGAGATTCTCTTTGCCTTTCCTAGGAGGCGGCAATAGAGATTTTGTGCAGATGCTTGAAAAAATGTTCCTCCCACTTCCATATAGATATATTATTGTTCACAGTCAAAAAAAATTTGGTTATTATTTTATTTGATATGACTATGGCTTATTCAAATGCAAGGAACTGAAAGAACTTTGATTAAGAAAAGAAAACTACATTGGCATGCAATAACAAATATTAACAATAACTTAATCTACTATAGAAGTATAAATTTATTAAATTGTAATTCCCCCCAGCTTAAATTTAATAGAAGTAATGATTAATTGATTACCAATTATCTATCAATTAATTGGTATGTCACTAAATTAAACAATTTACTTAATAGCTCAAACAATCTGACAACATTCAGCTGTTTTTGATGAGATATCCTCATCAAAAATAAAAATCATTAATAATATTCTTAATATAAATAAGCTTGGTACAGAAGTGCATATTCTATAATAGCAAAGTTTTTCTTTTAACATATAAAATTTTCCACTCCAAAATAAATCATCATATTAAAAATAAGCCAAACAGTACAGCTGTCCCTTGATAATCCGACAGGTACAGGACCAAAGGGGTGTTGGATTACCGAAAGTGATTACATATTTGGCATTGTTTTGCAAACAGTAGCCTACAATATTCCCTACTCCAACTGTTCAAACAGAACTGCTTACGGAAAACACACGAAATGTGTGTCATCGTGTAAGAATTGGGTGGGGAGATTCACATCACGACATGCTTCTGTGCAAGCAGACACGTAACAGGGACGGGTATCTTGACGGGAGGTGCGTCAGACTACTGAGCATGTTGGATTACAAAACGTCGGACTATCAAGGGACAGCTGTATTTTCTTTTATATTACAATAACATTAATTTGATAATTAAATCACATGCAATCTTTGACTTTCAGATAATACATTACTTTGAATTTGGTGAATGAAAAGCAATTCAGAATTATCACACATTTTCAACTGACAAATAAAACATTCAAGCAATCATACAATGCCACTTTCTGTGCCATTTTTGGTAACAGCAAAATCATCTGTGAAAGTTAGTTTTCATTACTTTGTTTTTTGTTTAATCAATATAATGTATCAATTCAAATAAATAAGAAAGTGTTGGTTTTTTACCGTGACTATATCAATTCAAATTTTGATATAGTCAATGTAAAAAACCAACACTTTCTTATCCAAGATATTTATTACTTTTACCTTTCTGAGAATTAAACACTTTTTATAATATGCACTTCTATTGCCTGGCTTTCATACACATTTTTAGGATAATGAAGTATGTCTGTGAGTTGAGGCTGCCTGTACTTTAAAGTCAAAGAATTTACAATGGTGCTTAGCTATAGCCAAGCACCATTGTAAATTCTTTGACTTTAAAGCATCATCAAATATTGAAACTAATATTCCTGCTAATATTTAACTTGGAAGAAGTATTACAATTCAAAGTTCAACCATCAACCATATAAAAGAATTCCATAACTAAATATATTGCTTGTTTATATTTGGTAAACAGTATTCAGACTCTTATGTAGAAAATACAAATATAAATTAGGTAACAAATAACTTACCATAATGGCATTTACAATGTCATTATTATTATTCTTCAGAGCTCTCACAGCCTTTGCTCTAGAAACATTAGCCTGAGACATTACTAGCTCAATATCTTTACTTTCCACTCCAGTTTCATCAACCTATATAAATTAAAAACCATGTAAATACATACACATCTTAATGACTTCTCAAACAGTTAAAATGAATACCTCTTCCTCCTCTTCTGATTCTTCTTCAATAGTAGGAGATATTGTCGTTTGGGCAGGCTCTCCCACAGAAGCACCAGCTTCAGGTGTTTTGAATTTTTCAGCTGCAGCCATTTGTGCTTGTTGACTGAGATCTTCAATCTGATTAGTATAATTATTAATAATTAAGTATTAAAGTTAACAAATTTCTCAATTTATTGATATGATAATGCTTTTTTTACCTTTGCTTCACCAAACACTATATACGTATCAGATGCTGGACTTTTATAAACATCTGGTTTGTTAATAACAAAAAGTATGTTTTTTGATTTCCTAATTGTGACTCTCCCTACTCCCTGTACTTGTTTCAATCCCAGTTTTGACATTACTTTACGAGCTTTCTTCTCACTTCTACTCTGTTTTGCTTTGCTGACTAATTCTTCATTGATACCAGCAGCTTGTGCCATCTGAAACAATAACTAAATGTTCGAAAATGAACTTTAAAACTTAAAAATGTTTTTCAAATAGTTCAATTAAGTTTTTTAAGACAATCATTATTTAGTCCTTCATTAGTGGCATTTGTTTTGGAGTGTATATTGTGACACAGAATGCAGGCATATCCAAGAGGTTTTCAGTGTTAAATATCAACAACTATTCAATGCTAATATTATGTGTTTTATAAATAATAAATTCATATATTCACATTAAGCATTAAACTGATTATTAATTTAATTTGTATTAATTAAACTTGCATCCTTCTGTTTATATATATATATATAAACAGGAAAATAAATAATGGTATAGTACATGTGCATCACAGATCCTTTCAACAAGTCTCAATAAGATAGTGGAAACACCTGTTCAACACAAATGCATTTCTCATACCACTAATGAAGAGTGTTTTAAACAGCATTAACATATTAAATAACACCAGGGCTCTGGAGTTGGTGGCCAAAGAAATTTGCTAGAGGAGTCAAAGTCTGTAAAAATGGACTGACCTTGATTCTGTTATTTTCCCAACTTGTTAGGTATAGTATAAAACACGGGAAAGTATTAAAATTATATCAAATTCAATCGCCAAGTTTTGCCATTCTGAGTAAATATAAATAATCGAGGTTCTACTGTACTTGAGTTGTTAATTTACTCACTGCTATTCCAGACAATTGAAACCTAAATATTAAAATTATATCAAATTGTTATGTTCAATAAAGGTAACAACACTCGGATTTTAAAATTTATTTTAGATGGTAAAATGGATGATATCGAAGTTTCATTTTATGTATTTTAACGTCTTTGTACATTTATGTACAAAGTATAAAATTCTAATATAGGGGAGACCGGGGCAAGATCGGCATGTTAAGCTTTACTTAAATTTTGTGTAATAAATACTGCTGTAAACTGAAAAAAAAGCTTTGCATATTGTCTATTGGAATGTTACCTTACTATAGAACTGGTTAAAATCAGTTTGGAAATAAAAATAATTAAAATAATTACAACTTTACAANTTCATAATTTTTTCCCAAAACCCTCTCTATCTCAAATTATGGATTGAAATGTCAATTATAAATTCAAAGCTCAGTGACTACATTTTGACAGCATAAACTGGTTGAGAAACATCTCTTGAAATACAGTACACAGTTGCAATTAATGCTGCTTTTTAATTACCTGTACTTGGCAAATAAATCTTCAATTAAAAATATTTTGTTATTGTTTCATTATAATGCTAGTCAGATAACAAAAATACCCATAATTCATGAGGGCTTAGAATTAGATCCGGCTGTACAGCTCCAAATCTCTGTCATTTATAAAATATATGTACAGTACATCAGTGTTTTTCAACAACTAGTCTAGAAAAAAATTTCACCAATCTGAAGAAAGGCATTCAATTGCACTGACACTGATGCAGTCAATTATCGATGACATTTAAATAATAATAATCTAGAGTTACTGTATGCACTTTGTTACATACAGTAACTCTAGATGATGATGATGATAATTATTTTTATTGTACTTATTTTGTAAAGGGGAACTTAAATGTATGTACAAATTAATTTAGCTGTTTATAAACTTTCACAAAAAAAAAAATATAAAAAATTTTACAAACTCCCATATAACTAATATATGGAGACTAAATAGTTTACAATGCTTCCATGAAGGCCAAATATCTGTCTACAAAAAGGCTCTAGAACTCTACAATATACAAAATATGTTACCATTCTAACACAGTTAGGAATAACACCACAAGAGGTGCATGGTTTATTAATATATAAATTAATATATTTACAAAGAAATAATAAATGGTATTTGTTATATTTTAGTTTTATAATTAATGATTTAGCATGATAGTTCACTTCATGTAAAAGATACAATGATGGAGAGACCAAGGTAAAGACAGAGTACAGCTTAATAAGGTACCAGGTGTGAGAATCCAATATATCGTCATACTTATTTGATAATTGTTGTCGAATCTATTACCCGAGAAAATCTACACTTACACTTTCTCGATGGCGAAAACTATGCATTCCCGTGATCTGCTGACCTCTTAGCCGGGTGATATCGTGCTGATATTGAAATTGACAGCCGAAGAGTCAGTTGTCGTCCGTTCCTCCAAAAGTACAGTCATCGCAAATTTCTCCAACTTGTAATCATGTCAGTGCCCGATCCTACCCAATTGGATATCTCACCTACTTGCACTCGGATATCGCCTACAAGTGTGCCTTCAAAGACAAACTATTGGTGATTTGGAACTATCCCGATGATCTTAAATGAAATAACTTTAAGAGCCTGTCACCCTAATCACAACAAAAGCTCTACTCCATCCCCTAGGACACCCTCTACTCCAGGTATTTATCAACTTGCAAACCAGTGTAAACTCTCTCTCTTTCGAGAACCACTTTCTTGAGAAATATGTAGACCTATTTTAACTCGATTTATTATAACTCGTTAATACTATAAATTGTGGGCAATCTATTTTCCTTTACAAATAAATGGTTGTTTAGTTAACCTGGCATCCGAGTGATTCACTTCTGGTATGCTGTCCCTCAACTCTCCTCCATCCCAAATACGATCGCATGAACTACATTCTAATCTGAATCAACACACCGTCCTGGCTTCTATGTCAAATGAGACATGGTGGTGTCAGTCTTGACGAGGCACTAGAGGTGCCAACCCTGCAGTCACAATATCAAATTTTGATACCATATTTTGAAGAATATTTTAATAATTCCTGATAATGTTATTGTTTGGAGACTTTGTTTCTTAAAGTACTCATTGTATTTATTATCTCATCAGTATCCATAGGTCTGTCTAAAAGTAAATCAGCAAAGTGTACTGGCTCTGTATACAATAAAGAAGAATCATAAGTTTTCTCATATAGCTTTAAACAGTACTAAAACCAAGTCTCTATATCAATCCTCTCACAAATTACATGTTTGCTGCAGAAACACTTAACCAAATTCCAGAAAAGTCCTTGATCGTGATTTTTCCATAATATAACTCAATCTCTCAAAATATCTCTTATGCTTGGCAACACAGGTTCTGAAACCATCTTTTCAAAGTTAACTATGTTCAATAATTCTATTTGATCTATTTCTCCGCAGTTATCTTGGAGCTTGCTTTTTCTTCCACTTCAATTTCTGACACTACATCAAACCATGGCAGTACCCATCTGGCTGAAAAAGGAGTTCTTGAAACCATACTAGCTTTCTCAGCAAAATGAACTATTTTATTTATTAATAAATTCTACCATTCACTAATGTCACCTTCTTCAACAAGTCTTCCAAGAACCTTAAGAGTCCAGTATTAACCACATTAATCAAGGGATAGCTGTATTGGTTATGTAATCTTCAGAAGATCTAATGTTTAAAAATTGTCTGTTACAGCTTTGGTAGGTTGAATCCATCAATTTGCCCATCTAAACATTCCATATCACTCATAATTAATATGTGATAAGCAATTTGAAAGTCAGCTAATAAGGTCTCTAGATCAAACAATATATAAGTAAACTTATCAGGATGAAAATAAACCACTCCCAACAACCCTTGAAAATCAGAACAAGTAGAAATCTTCAAATCAACCAATCCAATTATATAATTTGTTGTTAGATGATGTAATTTAAAGGTTCCAGACTATGTCATATTCCCAGCAAAATACTACCTAAAAGCCTTCCAACAGTCAATGTCCTAAATGCTGGACTCTCCCAAAAATAAAAATCTGGAAAGAAGAATTGTACTTTAGCCAAGGAATCACAGCTCCAAGTTTCCATATTTTGATATGAAATCAATAGAACTTAGATCTTCAAACAATCTCTTGAACATATCCAGAGAGTTCCAAGATATAACTTTAACTAATTGCATTTTTGAATCATTCATGGTAAAAAAGAACTGTGCTCAAGATCAAACAGAACATTCTTAGTTACAGAATGTACACTATATCCAACATAGGATGAATTACAATTATCTTCTCAGAGCGAACAGGTGAAACACTTGAAACTCCTACATCTATCAAACCTTGCATAAAAACTTTGGTATCTCAATTATTTTCTTACCAGTCACACAATATGTATAATATATATCTCCCAAAACTAGGATGTCAACCCTTAAGTAGATTCCCATTTCTGTTGGGTAGTAGATTCCCATTCATGTTCCCATTCCGATCCCATTTCTGTTGGGATCTTCGAAATTAAATCAAATTTTTTCTCCTAATATGAGTTATAACACAGATCATCAGTAGACACTGAAATTTTATTAGTATTTGATAATCCAACTGACCTACTAGTATTCCAAAACTTTACAATATGAGATTATGTAAATACATACTAGATAACAATACAGAGAACTTCCCTACCAATTATATCCAAAAGATCAATATTACTAATCTGATATTTACATTTGAAAAAACCAATTAAGCAGTCCCAAGGATCAGTTTCTTGAGGAATTACAAAATTAGAAATCATAAGATTATTACGATTATAAAAATTATTTAAATGGTCTGTCAGAAGTGACAAACACTCAAAACTATGTAAATTATATTCATTTGGCAATTTTTCTAGCTCAGAAATTTTTTCTCCTAACTACAGTTCTTCTCTTCAATAGACAAGAACTTTGCATACAATTAATAGTAATGCTGTTTGAAGGTCAATAAACGAGAAACAATATCATTCATATTGATCTTTAAATATTCCGCAAATTCTTGTAAAATCGTGCATAAAGTAGATTCCTTGACATCAAAAATCCTCTCTTCTTTATCAATAGATGTAAAAAAAAGATTCCAGTCTGCATCTTAAAAGTTGGCTCACTTGGAGATTCTTTCTTTCTTTCTTCTCTAATATGGAGATTTAATTTTACATGTATAATATTATTAAAGTAATGTCAGTTAATATTAGATAGAATAACTACGAGACTAGACATGGGCAAAAACTATCCACAAATATTTGAATGATGAAAGTACAGTAGAGCATCAATTATCTGAATCAATTGGGGACTGGAGTTGTTCAGAAAATTGATTTTTCAGATAACCGATTATGTATGAAAAAATATATTAACCTATCCCATGTTGAAATTTGTTCAAATCCTGGCACATCCTTAAGTATTCTCTCATGGTCGCGCCAGTGCTGCCAACTAACACACACCAACAAAAATAATATTGGAGTAGCCCAAGATGTAGACAAAGATTGCAGCACCATAGCACTAGCAGAAATTTAAATTTGCCATCTGGAAAGCTTTTGGTTAATTGATGTTTCAGTTGGTCAATATTCCGATAATCAATGCTCTACTGTATTTGAGAATCAAGATCTCAAATATAATGATGATAAAAAACACATTCAATATTACAGATATCTCCAATATTACATCATATGTACAGACAGCAATTTCTTGGCATCTCCAGTTGAATTTGTGGCAAGAAAAGAAGCATTCTAAATCCTGAAAGTTTTTGAATGCCTCTTTTTTCTTAAATAAAAATCTGGAGTAGATGAAAATGAAAATAATTATCAATTTATCTATTGTAGTTAAGATAACAGTACCTAGAAAGAAGGCACTACAAAACTCAAAAACAGTGAAAATTTTAAGTTCCATTTCTTAGAATTTATTAAATTGCTTTTCTTTTTACTTTATTAATTGCTTTTTCTGTAACTGTAAATTATAAAACATTGTTACAAGTTCCTATGTACTGTACCTCAAAAATATTTTAATTTAAATGTTCACTTTGAGAAATTCCGTGGAGACTAAGAAGAATAAAAATTGTATGTAAAATAGCTATTAACTCAAAAACAATTAAGTAAAAAGAAATACCTTCATCTGTCTTCTTCATTTTCTTATCTAGTTTATCAACCTCAGCTGTACTCAACTCTGGCATACTGTTCTCATGCACTGGTAAGGTAGCCAAACTGTAAAATCATTCAAAATAAAAATAATTACTATTATTGTCATACATTAAATTATAATATTGAATAGTTCACTCAGAAGACATAAAACTATTCTAAGATTGGAAGTTATAGATATATTTTATAAACAGGATATCACTAACTGATTCTATTTTTATAAATTCTACATAAGAATTGAAACAAAATGTTGAAAATTTCAATACATTCAGTTGCAAAATGTAATAATTATATAAATAATTTGAATAACATGTAGTATTACAAGTGGAAATATCTAAATAATTTAAACACAAATCTAATAGACATTTCATTAATTAGATTATAAACAAGATTACCAGACACAAACATGGTCATATCATTGACTCTGAATATATATATATATATATATATCTGATATATTTATCAGTTTCTAAACAGAAATAATAATGTTACATATCAAATAATATAGTTGTAGAGCACAACAATTCGTATAAACAACATTTAATATAAGCTGAGTTACCACAATCTTTATTATCTTTGCAATATTGCTCACTCATGATCAATATTGCAGTTTCTAATACATCATATAAGGCCAAATGCCTCGTCAAGGTGTATGAAATGTGCCTATACTGCAATAGAGAAAAATATTTGAGAAAGCACCATAATCAGATGGTTAATGGGCCAAAATGTAATTAACAAGACAAGTTTTGAATTCCTAACGTTTTCCTTTACCACTTGATTTTATGACATACAATTTTACATTATTTCTTGTAACTGTGTGCAACACTGATTATTATGTAATCCTCTAGAAGCAATTTATTGTAATCATTTTTGCAGCTTAGAAAATAAAATATCTCAATACTACATATCTCCGTTGATATCGGAGAGATTCATTTAATATTAATTAAAATTAATAGAATGTGGACAAACTGATTACATCACAATTGTAAATTAGGGCAAATAGCTAATTTCGTCTAAAAATTGATGAGTGTCTAATTATTTTCCTCATTATCTTTTTGCTTTAAAGTACAGCATAACTTCTACACAGTGTTTGTTTTATGACTGACTAAACATGAACGGATTACAAAATATAGTTAAGCTATAAACTGATTAATTTATTAATAAATTTTACACTAATAATTCAATCAGTTTAGAGCAGTGTTTCTCAACCTCTAACGAATTGTCGCCCCCTTCAATAAAACCGTTACCTATTATCGCCCCCTTCACTTCAAAATTCCGATGCCGAGGACCAAGACTAACGCCAAATTCATACTGCATTGAATAGACTAGTGACTAGTATAATGTTATTTGTTTAATTATTGTACGATATAATGAATAAAATATCTAATTATTCTTAATATAATGTTTTACTATATCGTCCAGAAAATTGTTTTTCGCATCCCAAAATATAAATTGTTACTAATCGCCCCCTCAACATGGAAAAACGCCCACATGGGGGCGATATCGCCCCTGTTGTGCATAAATACAGCCCCTAATTGTCACCCATTTGATTGATACATAAATAAAATCATATATTTCAGATTATTGTTTAATATATATTTGTAGAATTATCTTGTAATCTTGCAAACTGTAATTATATCTACTTTTAACAAACATAAATCTATATATTTTCTAATGATGAGGACAAAATTCTAAGAATGTAAAATTTACTAATTAAAAATTGCAGCACATTAGAACACTGAACTTTTTCAAAACAGTTTCTATTTGTAGTATATTTTCAGTTTATCAGACAGGACAAATATGACTTAAAGAATACAGGAAATGTAAAATATAACCTAAGCATCAGAATGGAAAATCATCAGTACGGTTCTATAAATAAGGCAATATTTTTTCTAACTACAGAATGGAAAAATACAGATTTATTTCAGGGAAAAAAGTATATGATGTTTCAATTAACTTTCCTAGAGAACTTTCATAAAGTGTTTATGCATGGAAAAAACATTAAATAAGATAAAATTTCAGCTCAAAGACTAATTCAGTAACTTTATGCTTAACTTAAATAACTCCTTATTAATTATGGATTTTGAAAACACATATAAATTGTTTATAATTATTTTGTAAAATTTTCTTCAATATAACTTAAATTTCTGTCTGAAATTTCCGAAAAAATAGGTTAGAAATGCCCAACAAATTCCTATGATTCTTCTTTTTAGCTAATACAATTTCACAANTCTATTTAATTTTAGACATTTTTAAAATTCTATCGATCTTGTCGTTGAGCCGCGGGGATCCGGGTTCGAGTACGATTCACTCTTCCGTAATTTAGAATGAGTGTTACTAATGAGGATAGAGTTATTCTTCTTTCGTTCATCCTGGCCAATCCCATTATAGACTAGACCTATACATATTGGAATAAAATGTGGTCGTTCATGTAGCTTTAATGTGCCAAGTGCCAATGCGATCTGTATAATGAGAATAATTATTACTTTTTCTTTGAAATATTTATTAGTTTGTTTTTCTAAACTGTGAGCTATTTTTCGCGAATGATTTTACCTGACAAAATAAGCCTAATTATTAAAAAAAAAATGTCATTTATCACAATTTGTTTGTTAATTTACGGCAATGCAACACTTGGGCGATCTGCCGCGAGGTCTTTTTAAGGGTAACTGGCCCTATTAAGATGGAGAAAACCCGGAAAACTCCACGTTTCCAGCCTGTCCTGGCGAAGCGCGAACCCACGACCGAACTGCCAGTGTTTAGGGAACAGAACCGCTTGACCATTTGTGAGCCCCTTTTCGACCTGTGTACACTAAGGGAATCGTTTGCCACAGCCATTAGGGGTTCAACCAAGCTCTCAGTAGGAGTAACCGGTAGTGGGCATAAGATGGTCCTTTTAACAAACCAATTATAGGTTCTGCAGTCCTAGAATAAGGCAGCTAGGTGATGAGGACATATCCGATTCAGTTCATCTACAAAATTTTCTCTGACTCAAAACTTGAAATTAGATCTCCTAGAGAAATAAGTTGATGTTTTTACATCCAGAGCGGCTTTCTAATATCCTCATTGTCTTGCAATTCTTTTTTGGGTGCAATTTGAAAAAAATTCCTATGAATTCCCACTGTCTTTCCTCAATCTCGAGAACGGAGTTCGATAGAGGAAAGAAGAAACCAGATATGGAAATCGTATGGGCAAAAGGCTCCGATTAACTATATAAGAACTTCCGATACAAAGTGGAAGTTATATTATTTCAATTCAAAAAAATTTCCCGCTAAAAGTGTTAGATAAATGACCAACACTACTCTATTGTTAAAGGAAAAGTCTGATGTAAAGGGGCGCCATTACTAATTTGAGGCGGAGAGCATATATTTTAAATGAAATAACTTAATAATTGCTCGTTTTATTTATTTATAACCATAGAAATTCTTTCATATTTTTTCCGTCATAGCATTCTTTTATAAGTTATATTAAATTTATTTAGTTCTTCAAAGGTTTTATTTCTAGCGTATTTCTATATTGTTAACTTTGCTTCGTTATTATATTGCGTATTTTCGGTTGTACCATATGGAGAATCTTGGAATAAAGAAAACTGTGGGCCTAGCTGAGTTATGAAGGTTGGAATGATATATCCGAGAGATCTCCAAGCATATTCTTGAGGTTGCCCAACGGGATTCGATTCTGGGTCCCAAGAGCGGTAGGCTGACGCCTTAACATCTCGTCCATCACTTAAAAAATATTACATCGTCAATAAACCAGGCCCATGCGCAGGAATTTTAAAAGGGCAGAGTTTAAAAAAAAACAATTTCTTTTTCATAACGTGGTTTATTCATTTTTACAATTTAGGTAGATATACAGAATAACACAATACAGTTGACTAAGAGGGAGAAGAAAGAAGTTACGAAACTTTCTTCATGGTCAAATGAAACATTTTACTGTAATCATAATGACAATGGTAATAAGTGATTACAACAACATAGCAATGAGGAAATTTCCTGTGAAACAATGATACAATTTAAAGCAACTTTTAGTACCTTGTAGGACTTCCCTTGCCTTCATGCATACGTCGATACAGTCGAACATATTGGTATTAATGTATTGTATTGTATTGTATTCTGCGACAGATTTGCCCATAGATGTTGCAACTGCCTCTATGTCCCTCACACTCGTGCATGGCATTAGTCTAACAGATGTTTAAGAAAATTTAATGTCCGCAGTAGTTCTTACCCCTATAAAATTGTTATTTTATTCATAGAAAATGAATTATTTAAAACTCTTTTATTGATAAAGAAACATTTTATGTATTTTATTTGTTTAAAAAATGGCTAAAAGGACCCGATAAGAGACAAAGGAGGAACGACCTACTTCTGGGCCCCCCATACAAGTTCTCGAGGGCCCTGCCAATCTGTCGTCCGTTCCCAAACAATAGATCATTTATGGCACTATTGCAAACGAGACCGAGCATGCAAATTTACCACTGCTTTTTTAAAACTTTTCTCGCATTGTAGACACTAAAAGGGTACTTTTAGCAAGCCCATTATCGGTTCGGTCAGGCCCACAATGGAGGGAGGTTGGCTGACACTCTGGAGGAATTATCTAGACTGCAATCTGACCACAACTGTAATCATTTACCTATCTAGCTGAGACTGCTGTGTGCAGTTTTGCAGTAATTGGAGAATTATGCATAACTTTTTTGTCAATGAGTATATGGTCGAGTGGTCGTAAAGTCTCAGCTAGCCACTTTGCAGGTTTAAGGAGGTCTTTTTCATATGTCAAACCCTGTTCGTCACCATCCAACCATCCGCACTGTGGGCCTGACCAAACCAATGATGAGTATAATTAAAAATTCCATCTTTGACCAGTTACGAATTATGGGCAACTCCAATCATGCACACCCATAATCAATAAGGGATGAGAACAATAGCCCAATCTATACAAGATTCTGCCTCAGATTTGTATTCCCCACTACTGTAGTTTAACAACTTCACACCATGGCCATTTGGCCAATGGTTGAGCAACATAACACTAAAGTAGGCCTGTTGTACACATACATGAATGACTACGTCATTAGAACAGACACTTGATCATATGGGTTGGACTTGTTATTTTAAAATCTGAATGTACAGTACCCTGTACTTTATGCAAAGTAAAAACTCATTAGGTAATAGATATAAGAATAAATTATGAAAGTAATATCAGATTTTATTTTTTGGTGATCACAAATTTTAATATATAATATATCATGGTGTAAACATATTGCATTAAAAAACATGGCTGGGTTCGAATAAAAATTTGGCCTTCATATAATGTCTGTATGACATAATAAAACATCACAATTTAAGGCACTAAATTTGACTACAAATTTTTAACATGTTCCATACATGGCATGGATACAATAAATCTGTAAACAACAGCCTGTTTGTAACAGGATTACAGAGTAATTTGTGCAGAAATGCTGCGCTCTTGATTGACGCCGACAAATTTGCTAAAATCTATAGCTTTGAGTCTATGTAAAACTATACACACATTCATTGTTCGCATGATAATTAATATATAAACAGGATAAAGAAAATAAGTAATAAATGTTTAATTAACATGAGCAATAAGTATCGTTCATTGGCAAATTTAATTAATATCCCAGTTTTTTAAGCCCTATTTATACTATGAACGAAATTGCACTTATGTTTTAAAAACCACAAAAAAAATGCTACATATAAACAAAGCTAATAAAAATACAATTATTATACAAAATATTTACATTGAATGAGTGCGCAGAGTAAATGTTATTGCATTAGATGCAGATATCTTGTTTCTTCCATTAGCGAAGTCAGTGAGGTATTCATGTCATTAATAACCATATTTGTGGTTGTTAGAAGGGGTGAAACAGTGTTTTCGTTAGTCCTACTGGCAGTTGCAGAATTTGACTGTGTCGGTTTTATCTGCTCTTTATCCTTTTTATCTGTGCTGCTGCTAACTTTATTACATCCGGGTGACAACTCCATTTGATGATTAGAAACTGGAAACTTAGACTGATTAGTGAAATTATTTCCTTGAACAGATGGCGGTGTTTTATCCGCTAGCAGTTGTTGGCACTGTTGAACGTACTCTAGCGTACGTTGATAAGCTTCTGGTGGCATGCTTACTAATGAAGATTGGCTGATATTTTGACACTGTATTTCTGGCTTTTGATTGGAACAATTATGACAAGGAGAGTTTGGAGAAGGATGTTGGCGTAACTGAGTCATTGAAGAAAGTTCGGCATTGCAACTTTTGCAATTTTGGCACTGTTGATTATTCACAGGTGCTGGAAACTGTGTCATAACTGGTTGAGGTGGAGGCAAAGAAGGAGGAGGAGGAGGAGGAGGAGGAGGTGGTGGTGGTGGAGGAGGTGGAGGTGCAAGTGTTTCTTTTTTGTTACAATTATTACAAGTTGAATTAGGAAGTGGATGAGGAATTGGATGCTTTACAGTTTGCTCACTTCCATGATGATTACATATGTTACCTTGTGGAAAACATTGAGAGTTTTGTTTAGAAATTTGCCTTTGATCTGTGCCTGTGTAACAAAAGTGATTGAAAGACTGATTTTGTGGTAATGGTGGTCTTTGAATTTGTGGAACAGGTATAACAGGAGGAGGATGCTGAAAATGTTTTGCAGAGGGTGGAGATGAAGCTTGAAAGGGACTTTCTTGATGTCTACATTGTGTTGTAGTTGATTGTTTATTAAATTTACCTGATTCACTTCCTTCTTGTCTTGGCATCATCCACTGTGGCTTATTTTGACCTTGTGGAGAACAATACTGCATATTATGACCATTGGTATTAGAATATGGTGAATTCTGTCCTGGAAATGGCATGCTTTGTGCATTTGTGTGATAATAATGTTGAGGTTGAAAACGTCTTTCTGGTTGAGACCCATTTTCACTTGGATCGTTTATATATATTTGGTGAGGTGTTTCTTCATGTCCATTCTGCATATTCCACATCTTACCTGGATTTTGTAACTGAGAATAATATGATTCTCGTGGAACTGGTGTCTGCTGACTAGTTTGAGCATAATAATGAGATGGATGAGAAACACAGTCTGACTGCAACCTGTAGTTATTCACTACAGGATGAGGTTGATTATATGGTACATTATTGGAATGATATGCATGGTCTGAATAATTACCATTGTGTATGTGATTATTTGATTGAGATCTATTTGTATTATTTGCATTCATTGCATATGTTTGCTGAGTATTGCGATTAGTTATACAATTTGGACTATACGTTGTAGTTTGGTTATTACAGTAACTATGGTCATTGTCTGGAAAATAAGGTAGTCTATTATTTGATTGATGTTGCATTTCCTCATACTGACTAACACTAGATACAGCATGACTGAAATGAGAATGTGGACGATCTGGTTCTTGCTGAGATTTTTCAGCAACTTGGTTAAGATAATGAACCATATCATCGGGAAGCACTAGATCTTTGTTCTCTTCTATTGGGCGATCTTCTAAGACAACATTTTCATTAGGATGATTAGTTCTTCCATCCTGTACACTATGTTTTGACATTGAAGATCGAGATATTGGAGGAAGAGGTGAGAGTTTACTAAAGCTATTAAATCTCTGTAACTTATCTCCTGCATTTACATCTAGAGGTCTTAAAGGATCACTTGAACGACGTGCATCCTTATAGGGAGAACACTGAGGTATTGAATTGTGCTCAGAAAGGCTTGTTTGGCCTTCTGTCCAATTATTTTCTCCCTGAGTATTATAATTTTGAGTTTGAACAACTAAATTTTGAGTTGAATTTAAATGTTGAGAAGCTAATGCACGTGAATGAATTCTCTGAAGATGAGCAGCAACTCCAGCAGGAATCCCTGTGCTGCTTCCAACTTCACTAGAGCGACGCGAGCTTCCTAATGATATTGGATCATATGGAGAATGAAATCCTCCGACACTCCGAGATATTTCACTTCCACGTCTGCTAGATATCTGACTGCTTACTGGCTGTGCACTAATATCAGAATGCAGACTGCTGTAGAAAGAACTAACAGAACTGTTACTGCTGTCCTGACGAATATTTTTACGATGTGTTACACATCCAGATAATCTGGTTAAATCTATATTAGAAATAAAGAATTATATACTTAAAACTATAAATATTTTTACCTAATTCAAGTAATAAAAAAGTTAGATTTTGTTAACACATACCTGAATTTGGAAGTATGGTTATATTATTTTTAGAATTTTTACTACTAATAATTTCAGGAAGCTTCGATGGACATGTTTGATGATTTGTCGTAGTGTGACTGTTCCATTGTTTCACTATAAACAAAATTTTACTTAAAGTTATTAAAATATAAAATGAAAAATTTAAATGTATACAGGTGCAATTAATATAATAAGTAAAATTAAATAAGAACATGACCATTCAACATAACAAAAATTATATAATTACTTAACTCTAATTGATCAAAAAATATAATAAATAGCTTTAAAAATATTTAAAGCTATTCACCTTTCCTAGAATTTAGAAGATTTGGTAACCAAGAAGTTGCAGATTTTAATTGTGATTGTATCCTTGTTTTAATTCTGTTACAGGTATTTCTTGTTATTTCAACATTATTGCCAGAAGAAGTAACTGCTGTTGATACTGTCACAACAGGTTCTTCAATCTAAAAATAAGATAGAAATGAGAATCAATAATCCTCAAAATCAACTACTTGGCATTAAAACTGGTAGTTTAAGGTATTTTGATACATTCTCAGAAAAATATTAACTAAATCCGTCATTAGTATCAACATAAATAATTTTCAATCAAATAGTTTCCTCCAGTTGAAAAAATATAATTTTATGCAATTATATTATAATTTTAAAATTATTTTACATATTTTAAGGAAATTTTAGTTTAGAAATCTAAGATTAAGAAATTTAACAGATATAAAAAACAATAATGTATTTGCCTAGCTTACTGAGGTTGTGTATTTAAATTCTATTCACTGCAGAATTTCTCCAAATGATTCTACATTAATTATTAAAATACAGGTATCTCTCATACAATAATACTTCTACAACATGACTCAGATTCGCTCTAACATGGAAATTCTCCATACAAAATTTCATAATTTTTAAGCATAAACTTTGTTATTCTATATTTTTTTTTATTCAAGTAAGAACACTTGTCTCAAATTTGCCCACAGATTTTAGAATATTGAAATTTTCAATTTGTTTTGTGCCTTTTGTCAGGTTTACTTTAATGAATACCGAAATTAGTATTAAGAAAAAATTACCCTAGCTTTCCTATCAACCAAGTGTCATTGTCATTGTTTTCAGACTTTAGTCCTTAAGACTGTCACTGTGCTTTCTTTCTATAGATTAATCTTCGTATTCAGTAAAGTTTATTTAAACATTTGTAGGTAAGTGTTACTAAACTTTTTTTAACCATAGATATTACTTACCTACAAATGATTACTTCACTGTAAAAATGATGAATGAAATATGGTGGTATCTCAAAACAATTCCGTATTCAAGCACAAATTCTGGGAAAAAAATTGCTTGATACTCAACCAAATAAACGCGATGAGATAGAACAAATTACCGATTAATAACATATTTTTATTTTGTCATCCATAAAATATTATAGTACAGATTTGCATAACATGGCACATTTTCGGAATGTATCTATGTGTTATATGAGGAATATTCATATTCCTATTTTCTGTAATTAATAATAGTTAATGACTCTGTAAAAGATCATTACATGACATTAATTCCTGTTTAGTCAATATACAATAATGAATATGAACTCGTTTGAATACAATTCATTTGTAGAAGTTTCACTGAAACATGTTATTCTACATTTTGATTTAAATATACTTTCATTCGATATACAGTATGAAATTTAGAATAAAATTTTGATTTCTTATAAAATAAAAAAATGGAATCACATATGCAGAGTATATCTTCAAACTCTATGATTATCAAATGGGAAATGTAATAACTTATTTAACAACATATCAGATGATCAAACAGAGTTTACTTGTAAAAAGTGGACTTCATGATAACAACAAGGAGTTTCAATGTTATCCCTAAAGTCTATAGTATATAAATGTTCAAGATTTAAGTGTTTCTTCTTATGATATGTAACAAGATAGTAATAAGCACAACTAAGTCGTGAAATTGCCTATACTACTTCATGCAAGTAAACTTTTAATCTGATCATCCAATATAATCAAAATAGATATATATAAACTAGATTTTCTCACATCTATTTCTTGATTTTCCATAATATCCCAACCGACATCTGCTTCTATTCCTTCCAGAGGTCCACTTGTTGTTGATACACTATTATCACTAATAGGTGCTGGATCTGTTGCATCACCAGGACTACTACCTTCTTGTTCCTGTGAAAATTTAAATATTTAATATATTCAATAATATTATAAAACTATTAAATTTAATTTTAACCAAACCTCTGATTTAACACTTGGGCTGGAAAGACTTGCAGGATTTCCACTTCCAATTCCTTCTTCAGAATGAGGACTTGAAGGATTTTCTGAGTTTTTCTCTTCTCTAGGACCATCGTTGCTTCCTGAGTCTCCATCACCACCTTTATGCTTTTTATTAGCATAAAATTCTGGCCCGTGTACTGTTTTTACATGTTTGCGCAAAGAACTAGGATCCGTGTATCTTTTCGTACATCCAGGTGCTTTACAAACATAAGGTTTCTAAATAAAAAATAGTGTTTGTCATTTATTTTTTTATATGTAAAAAGTAAAACATACATTTACTTTCATATAATATTATATCATTTTTAAAATTTAAAAATTTTATAAATTTATATACATAATAGAAAATAAAATAAAATATCAATAGATATGGTAAAATTCAGACAATCCGCTGAATTATCTGGCTACAACAAGATCAAGTTAACAATTACACAGGAGGAACCTATATGGTTATATCCAAACCAGCAGTTCTGGAATCAAAGATTAGATGGACCTCCGATCTTCACTTCCAGAATTGCTGGTTTGGATATAACCATACAGATCACTCATATCTAATTGCTAACTGGCCTTGTTGTAGCCAGATAATTCAGCGGATTGTCTGACTTTAGTCGAGAGTTAGATTTATGGAGTTGTCATTTATGTAGATATGGTAATAAAGATTCTGATGGTAACATCTTTTCTGATTTTGATTTATTTATGGAACATGAAATATAGTTATTACATAGATCTTCATATAAACAAGCAATTACAATCAAGTATTGCTTCATCTTGCTAAGATTTACATTTCTAGTAGTGAAACACTATGCCATAATTCAATGATGATTGCTGAAGGCTATTGAAAATGTTTGTTTTTGGGTAAATAGTATGTTTTTTATTGAATTTGGGTTTTATTTAAAGTTATTCATAATTTATCCAGTTTCTGTACTGGTTGTATTAAACTGTATTATCGATAATCTATTAGTTTCTTTGATTTAGATACAATGACTTATCTAATTTCTGTGAAAGATTACAAAAATATAAGTGAGAGGATACAAAAATGCTACAACAATTATCACAGTTAAATGGAAACTGGTCAACATATGAAAGCATAAATAAAATTTCAGCCCTGAATGATGGTTTGAATCCCCTAGATGACAAAAAGTCAAAGGATCTCTTATTGTGACCCTTGGCTAGATATTCAAAAATCACTAGGCTGCTTATTAAACATGCAACAGGCTTAATACAGCATACAGTATGACTCTGATTGCTCCCTGGAAGTAGTCAATGAAATGACGTTTCTTATTTTTCATGAACTTTTAAATTTTATCTCATTTTTGAGTGTCTTGAAAATTTCAGATAGGCCAATTTCAGGGATGTATATGTTGAAAAGGATGGTGTGTGGACCATCAGTTTCTTTGACATTTTTTTTAATCCTACAGGCATGATCTATAGCTCTAATATGGTCCCAACTGACTCATTCAGAGCTGCATTTATACAAAAACATGCCTTTGGTTGACATCAATATTCAAATTCATATAACTCTTATTCATTGCTGAATTGATCAAATTATCTTTTAAATATGTATGTCAGTGATGTCAAACAATACATTTTATTTTATAACAGAAAGTACAGTATGCACCAAAATATATAGTACTGAAACTCATGCATCTCAAATGTGCATTTGATGGAGCATAGCTCTGGCAACACAAGTTGTGTTATTCAGTTGTTTTTGGAAATGGGTCTCTCAATAGAAAAAAGTATTCATTATTTCTGCTCATATGGAATGGTTGTGAAGGGAAATGGGTTTGAAAAAGGTGATAGAACAATTCTGAGAGAGATTTAAAAAGACAGCACAAAATAACAGAGTTATGCTGTTTATTGTTACGAAATTTTACCATTCTGATACTATACTGTGTCAATGGAAGGAGAAGTTTGGTCAACCAGTTCCAGGATATGTTTGAGAATCTGCATGAACAATATGAACACTGCCTACAGCGAGGCGATGTACACTTTGAACACCTATGTTACACATACCTTGGAAAATCAACACACTAATAGAGTATTTGTTAGTTTCTTTCAAAAGAAATAAACTCAGATGACAACAAGTTAATATTGTTCGTCTTTTCATTTCAGTACTCTTTATTTTGGTGCATAATGTATTTTTGTCTGGAATATATTTAAACTGTTTTTGGTCATTTCACAAAAATTAAAATACTAAAATATGTTAATAATATATGTATGTAATATTTTGTATCACATTATTCACATAATGTGATATGAAAATGAACTAAATAAATAAAAGAGCAACAGAATCAATTTTTTAGAAAATTGATGAAAGAAAATGTCATTTTAGTGGTTTATCTTTATATATGGTGAATCTTAATGGTCTCTGGGATTTTGACAAACCACAACACCATACAGATAAGAGATACAGAATTAGATTACATTATGAAAATCTCACAAGTTTTATATGTGTGTGCACAGGAGAATATCTCACAAGGTTTATGGGCCATTTTTCTTTGATGAGGCAACCATTACTGGCATCATGTTTCTTGATATGCTTCAGCTGTAGCTAATGGTGCAACTTCATGATTGTGCTGACTTCATTCTTCAATTAGATGGAGCTACACCACAATTTAGCAGTGACATGCCTATCTCAATGAGCAATTACCCATAGAATGGATTGGCTTTTGCAACTGCCCAGAAACAAGTGCATTTAGCTTAGCTATCTCAATCACCAGATTTAACACTGATTTTTTCCCATGGGACTACATTAAGGACAAGGTGCTTGTGCCATCCTTATTCTGAGACTTAATAGAACTGAAATTGCATTACCACAGCTATCACTCAGGTGAGCAGAGAATTTTGAACCATACATGAAACAAATTGGGTTAAAAAGATGGACACATCAAGAGTTTGTAAGATACATATAAAGCTTTTAATATTTCTCCTTCCATTATAGTGTAAAGATAATAGCAAATCAAAATCCTATTGTGACTATTAGCCTGGAATCTACAATATTCTATTATTCACACTTTACTTTCATATTTGGGATTGTTGGAATATCTTTTTTTATTTCATTTATTTGTACAAAGTAGCCACAAAGTTTCTATATACAAGGCTGTAACTTGAATTAATTATTTATTTTATCTCCGTTAGTATGATAGACACAGAATAGGTGACAGAAGATAGTTCTTAAAGTTCTCCTTACATCACACACTATCATTACTTTAAAATATTTTTTACAAAAATGGCTATCAGTAGAAATTAATAGATTTCAAGATTATGATATCTATAATGTATTTAGGAAATGTTCAGGAAAACCAGTAATCGTATGTTATAAGAGACTGATTAAAATAAGATCAGTTGGATCTCTAAACACATAGATTTTAAAATATATTTAGTTTCTGTTCAAATGTATATTTTTTAACTTTAAGATATTCTTATTTATTAATTCACTAGTGACATAAGCATACCATGTACTGAGCTTTATAATACACTCAAATTTAAACAAAATAAATATAAGATTAAAATTACTTAAATATTCAGAGTGTCTACAAATGTTCCTACAATTTTGATATTTTATTACTTATGCTTGATTTAAGTAGCTACTTTGATATAAAAACTACATGAAAGAACTCTCAAAATTCATGTCTTTGTAGCAATGTTCCAGGAAAAGCTGTACGAACCAATCTTATTCATCAAATCCACAAAGACAGGATTCATCTATCTGGACATGCTCTGTGGATGGTTAATGTCCTAAGCTGAAAGAATATATTCTAAACCTAATTTTCTTAACAAGATAACACTCCACTGCATTTTTACAATGACTTGAGATAATACTTTAACTAACATCTTCCTTAGCATTAGATTATGTACATAGGCCCTATAGAATGGTCTTCCAGATTGTCTGATATGATGCCACTGGATTTCTTTGTGGGATTTTTTGAAAGACAGTGTCTACATCCCTGTTGCCAAGAATTTAAGTATTAAAAGAAATACTAAAATTATACACCTATATAGAAAAATATCATTATTAACAGCATATATAAACTTAATTACATATTTTTATTTTCAATTCATTTTGTTTTCTTGTAAGTTATTTATGAAAATGTAAATTCTCTGCTTACATAACAATAAGTTGTTTTTGCCTAATAGATAAATAATAAAGAATACATGTTCAAAGTATTAAAATAATAAATTAAAAGGAATAATAGAAATAAAATGTAAAAAAAAATTAAATTTGTAAAGTATAAAAATCAATATGTAGAGTAGAAGATAATAAAATGAAAGGAGATATGAGTGCAAGTTTTCCTAAACTGTAATGGATGCAACTTGATAANACTTTTATAGCAAATTTACATGAAATTATTTATATTTTTTCCCTATTCCTTCTTTCCTCCATTTTGAAGTTGTTACCGTGCTTTTTTCTTCTATACTCATAGAAAAATAAAATGTAAAAAAAAATTAAATTTGTAAAGTATAAAAATCAATATGTAGAGTAGAAGATAATAAAATGAAAGGAGATATGAGTGCAAGTTTTCCTAAACTGTAATGGATGCAACTTGATAATATAAAATGAATATAAATTTGCTTAGATTCATTAATATGCTATTCATAAATATATTTAAATTCTGAGAAGTTCTTTAACCAGATTTTTCTTTCGGAGTGTCATCACTTGCATATTAAAAATGAAACACCTCACGTGGCTAGATGTAAATAAATTGCTTCATTATCTTCTTTTTGGCACTCCCTAACTTTTGTAACTTTTTTAAATGAAGATGTAATAGATTTGTCAAACTTATTAACAAAAAAAAAAGATTACAATTTAGTTATTTTTTTACAGCTCAATAATTGATTTCCATTATCTAATTAAAATTTTAAATTTGTCCATTTATATATATATTTTTTTTATTATAATCATTGCTATGAAAGGAAGTTTATGTTTATTATTTGATACAAAATACTATTTTAGATATATTTTAAATAAAATACCTCATTAGAATGAGTCCTATTTTGATGCTTGGCTCTATCAGAAGCATTACTGAAAGCTTTGGTGCAGCCAGGAAATTCACACATGTAAGGTTTTTCTCCAGTATGAGATCTTAGATGTGTCTTTAGATTTTCTAATCTAGAATAGGCTTTGGCACAACCTTCAAACTGTAAACAATAATATTAAAAATATATTTTTTATATTAATTAAACTTTATTTCAATTGCAATAAATAAATGATATTTAGATAAATATAAATTTTAATGAAACTTTCTGCCTAAGAGGGAATTTGTATATATCAAGCATGAACTTGACTAGGCACAGAATTGAGTGATCAAGTAATGAAGTATACGGTTCAATATATCTTGGAAAATAAAAATTTCTAATACATTCTTCATACTGCATGCAAAATATAAACATTTGGCAGTTTTCCAACTATAATATAAGATCAATTATTTTCACTTTTAAACTTGTTTGATTCATAAGAAAAGGATCTGATTCATCTACTTCATTGATCTTGAGTCTAATAAGAAATTCACTCGAGTGATTTCAGTCTATCTGTCTACGGACGGGGACAAACAGGATACTTGTCCCTTGGGATGGATGTATAATCATAAAAGTGATAAGAGATATGTAACTTTATACTCATGATCATGAGACTCTTTAATGCAATACTGTATTCTGTAATCTACATGCGAAAAAACCCAAAAAAAGTTAAATAAAATTTATTGGTATAATTATTGGTCTACTAGCTTTGCCCCCTGGAAAATTTTCCACAGATGCCCTTGATCCCCACTCAGTTGTCCTCATTGCTGGACTAGCCAAATCCATGACAGGCATGAAAAAGAAAAACCCTCTTAATGTTAGTAAGGAATTAAAAACCAAACATTAATTAATATTTAAATGATATTCATCAAATTTATATAAAATATTTTCTATTGCAAATTCATTTTTATCATGATAATTTATCACGTATTTATACAGTGCCAGCCTGAGGCAAGTTTCAGGATGGAGCGAGATCCTATTATGGCGCCCAGGGGTGGAACCCCAACCACACACTCGACTCAAGCGCGTCTCAACAGATAAGAC